GCTCTGCCTGAGGGCCAGAGCTGGTCATCTGCAGGAGGGCAAGGGTGCTTCAGCGCCTTCTGGGTAGGATAACACGGAAGAAAGTTAAAGCTCGTCACTCTGAAATCCTGGTCCTTCATTTATACAACTGCAGCGAAAAATATGAATTTTTCACCTAATTGTAGTCTTTCAAATGTCAGCTTTTTCTTGGATGAAAGATGAATGGCATTAAAATGTTTTCCAGAACCTTCCACATCATTCCGTGTAACTCGTACCTTATAATAGAATGCCCCATGTCTATCTTCCTCGTGTATAAAATCCTTCTGGCACTTGTGTCAATTTACAGCAAACGTTCAGGCAGAGATATAAACGTACGTTCATGTGTATGGTTTTACATCCATTCTTCACACGGTGGCTGAGTCCACGTTTTTACAACTTCATGATGCGTTATCAATTATAGGGATGTGTTTAAAGTAACTCCTTATTGTTTACTGCTAAAAATGTTTTTAATTATGTTTGTTGTTATGAATAGAACTGTTCTGAACAGCTTGGTGCAAAGCATCTCTGCTTCCACCAGAGGCATTTCATTTGGGTATTCATCTTTTTGAAAATGAAAATATTTTCATTTAAAATTTTTAAACTAATAAATAAAAATGGTACATATTTATGGGTGCCATGTTGTACTTTTGTACATGTCTACATCATGTAAGGTTCAAATGGAGGTCCCCCTACGTATCTCTTCAAACAATGGCCACTTCTTTATGATGAAAATATTCAAAACCCTTTCTTCTAGTTTAAAAAAGAATAGAGTTTGGTCATTGTCTCTGGCCACCAAAACTTTCCGCCATCTAAGTATTGCTCAGGACCAAGATATTTTCGAGCTTACCCCATCACTCTGTCCATCCTCTGCAAACCTCCATTTCACTCTCAGCTTCTACGAGAGCAACATTTTTAGATCCCACATGTGGATACAATCACATGGTACATATGTGCCTATCTTATTGCACTGGTTCCATCCACGTTGTTGCAAATGGTACAATATTGTTCCTTCTGTGGCTGAATAATATTCCATTTTTATACGTACCACATTTTGGGGCCAGGAATTTAGCTCAGTAGTTCTGCCTGCCACCTGCCTTGCAAGCGCAAGGTCTTGAGTTCAATCCCCAGTACCAAAAAACAAAACAAAACACAACTCTTCCTATATGTACCACATTTTCATTGTCTATTCATCTGCTGATGAACAACAAGTAAGTCAAATCTACTCTTGGCTGTGAATAGTTCCATTGTGAACAGGAGTGGAGATACCTCCTCGACACGCCCATTTCTCACCCAGGAGTGGGATTGCTGGGTCCTTTGGTGGTTCCACTTATAAATTTTGGGACACAACTGCATAGCTTCACCAGTGGCTGTAATGATTTACACTCCTGCCAGCAGTGCGCAAGGGCTCACTTTTCTCTTCATGCTCATTAACACTATCTTTGGTCTTTTTTACTAAAATCCCTTCTAACTGGTGTGGTGTGAGACCTCATGATTCTGCTTGCATTTCTGTGATGATCAGTGAAGTCGCACATTGTTCATGTACCTACCAACCATCTGTCTGTCTCCACTGGAAAATGTTTATTTCGATCTCTTATCCACTTTTAATTGGGTTATTTGGGGTTTTGGGAATAAGTTGCTTGAATTTCTTATTCGCTCTGGCTTGTTAATGCCCAGTCAGATGTCTGCAAATATTTTCTCACATTCTTTAGGTTGCCTTTCTATCTGTTGATTTTCCCTTTACCAGGTAATATCTTTGCCATAGCAAAACAATAGATAAAGTCAAAGTGCTATATTTATGTTGAAAAATAGTAATGCTTTGTCAGTGCCCTCTTACTTCCAAGTCCTGCTCCCTAGAGGTGGCCATTCCCAATTCTGTGTTTCTTCTGCTATATGTATCTAAATAGTGTGACTGAACCATGCTCATCTCTGTATTTCTAAGCAATACACTTGCAGTATACCTTTTTGCTTTACATTCCACTTTTTTATATCATCTATTGATGTCCATGTGGGAAAAGTGGAGATTTTGTTCTCTCACACCATCCTCAAGGTCCTCAATTCTCTCCCATCTACCCTCCTTTTATTTTTATGTAACGTAACAAGATATCAACATGAGATACGGGATGTGGACTCTTGTGGTGACTCGACTGCTCTTTTGACTTAGTACTTTGTTGGGAGGGGAGATTGCTGTGTACACTTCCCTGCTGGCCCTCTGACCTTTCTTTACCCACTCTCCTCCTCCTTCCTTTTCCATCCTGGTTTGATCCTCTCCACCACTGCAAGTTCTGAACAAGTTGTCGGGCCGCCCTTCTTCTGGGTGGGGGCAACTGCTTTTACTTATACACCCAAATTTGTGCTTTGTAGTTTGAGACCATTAATGTATCAATGGTAGTGATGGTGGTGATATTCATAGTAAGTAGCCAACACTGGCAAAGAGATCCTCAGGTGTCCTAGTGTAGAGAGGCTTTTCAGATGGGCAGATATGAGTTCAAATCCCAACTCCTCCATTTCGGAGCTCTGTGAACATTTATAACTTCTTAGCTCACTCTCTTTAGAGTTTCAGTTATCTACTGCAGTGAGGAAAGAGCAAAAAAAATCCCTTTCAAGCCTAGTGCCCTAAGACACCCTCCCTCATCCAGATTTGTGTGTCAGGAGTTCAGGGGTGCCTAGCTGGTGGCTCCATGGGGAGCCTGGCATCACTGGAGCAGCAGCTGTTGGAGGACCTGCTTCCTCAGTGGCCTCCTGGCCAGCCCTGCTGCTTGGTCATCTCTTTCCACAGACACAGGTTTCATTCTCCTGTTCGGCCTCAAGGTTCCCCTGGTGGCTCAGGCCCTTGTGGATGATGGACTGTAGGTGATGAGACATTTCATGTGGCTCTGACCTGCTCCAGAGTCCTTATTCTGGGGGCAGACCTTCCGAGGTGAGCCTTGCAGTACCTCTAGCAGAAGCCATGGATATCTTTGGACCCAGTGTCACAAGCCCCAGAACTCTGCTTTTGTCAGAGCCTATCAGACAGGTGAGCTACTGTGGCCAGCCCAGGAATGGGGACACAGAGGACACACAGACAGGCTCTTCTTGGAGATGGTGATGGTGGACATGCTTTCAACGGCAGCCTCAGGAACTGGGCACCCACACCTAGTAATCCAGCCTTAAAGGGCAACAATGGCCATGGTATCTCTCCTTTAGGCGTGGTGTTATATTTAAATATGATGCTGTTTATGGAGTCCTTCATACAGGGCAAGCACTGAATCAATACATTAGCCATATGGTTAAAAGGCATTATATATATGTGTGTGTGTGTGTGTGTGTGTGTGTATATA